CCCCTAGGGACTTTTTTTTTTCAAAACTGGTGCAGGTATTTGTGGATCTTTTATTTTTTCCCGTCCGCATCTTAGAAGTATTTGAATTCCTCCAAACACATTGGCTGAACTTGGATTGGGATTGCTGTGGATTTTCTTAATATGGAAATAATGGAAATTTGCAAAATTTGTCATAATTTATCTCTTCATTTATTCATGTATTTTATCATCCTTTAACAGGATTTTCAAAAAGTATCCCTAGAAAAAGACCACCTGCTTAAGCTGCCTTCATGAATGGATCTTGTTTTTCTGTAACTGACAGTCTTTCTCTTACAGTCTTTCTCTTAATTCTCTCAGCTCTTTCCTGGATTCTACGATTTTCTGTTTTTTTTTTTAAAGATTTGTTTTTATTATTTTTTTTTATTGGAAAGGCGGATATACAGAGAGGAGAGACAGAGAGGAAGATCTTCCGTCCGATGATTCACTCCCCAAGTGAGCCCAACGGCTGATGCTATGCCAATCCGAAGCCAGGAGCCTCTTCCGGGTCTCCCACTCGGGTGCAGGGTCCCAAAGCTTTGGGCTGTCCTCGACTGCTTTCCCAGGCCACAGGCAGGGAGCTGGATGGGAAGCGGGGCTGCCGGGATTAGAACCGGCGCCCATATGGGATCCTGGGCGTGCAAGACAAGGACCTTAACCACTGCGCCACGGCGCCAGGCCCGATTCTACAATTTTCAAGGGAAATAATATCAGTTCTAAGTCCTGGGAGTTTGTCTCTTCTAATTCCACGTCTTATTTCTTTTCCTTGCCTTATTGCATTGGTTAGACCACCAGTACTGCTGAACAGGAATGTTAGGGCCTTAATCTTCCCAGAATTCCAGGAAACATTGCTCAAATTTCTCTCTTAAATGTTCCATGTGAGTTTTATCACATTACAGAAGATTCCTTCCTCTTTCAGATTTCTGAAAATTTTACTCACAAGTGGAGACCTAGCTTTATCAAATATAAAGTTATGAAGATTAGGGTTAGTACTCTGGCAAAACAAATTAAGTTATGGACCAAAATGCTGACATCTCACAAAGGGATACTGATTAGTGGCTGCTCCACTTCCCATCCAGCTCCCTGCGAATGTGCCTGGGAAAGCAGCAGCAGAAGCCCCGAGTGCTTGGGCCCTGCATTTGTATGGGAGACCTAGAAGCAACTGCCATTTCCTGCCTTCAGCCTGGCCCATTGTGGCCATTTGGCGAGTAGCAAATGGACAATATTTCTTTCTTCCTCCCTCCCTCTTCCCCCCATCTCTATTTCTGTTTGAAATAAACACAATCTTTTTTTTTTTAAATGATGTGTTTATTTCACTTAAAAGAATCACAGAGAGGAAGAGGGAGGGAAGAAGACGAAGAGACATAGATCTTCCGTCCTGTTGGTTCACTCCCCAAACGGCTGCAACGGCCGGAGCTGAGCTGACCCAAAGCCAGGACCTCTTCCAGGTCTCCCACATGGATGTTGGAGCCCATGGACTTGAGCCATCCTCCACTGCTTTCCCAGGCTGTCAACAGGGAACTGGGTTAGAAACAGAGCAGCTATAGTAGCACCCTCGGAACATTCTGTCCACATCATCAAATGACTGTCCCCATCCCCAGTTCTGATGTAGTTCACTAGCGAGCAGTCGCCTCCTCCCGTTCCACCTCTATGGACACAGAAGGAAACAAACTGAAGCATTTGTGCCACTCACACTCCTCATGCCTTGACCCTCCCCACCCTAGTTGGAGACCCACGTGGGCATGCATCCCTCTCAAGTATGTAAACAATATTGAAAATAAAAAGGAAGGAAATGGGACAGCCGTGATACAAACCGACACGCATGTGGGATGCCCGCACCATAAGGAGAGGATAGCGTGCTATTCCACCGCATTGGCTCCTTAAAGAAAACCTGTAAAAGATTTAAAAAATGGTATATAATTTCCTTCTCCCTTAAATGTTATGGATGAACATGGATATATTTTCTGATGTTGAATCATCTTCTATTCCTAGGCGGACTCTTACTTGACTGTCATGTACTATGTTTAGTTTGTTGTCTCGATAGGTTATCCATGTCATTTGCATCTTAAAACATTAAGGTATAACTTGTCTTAACAGTTTTTCACACATCACTAGTATCCGCATAGTTATTTTCCCCCTTTTACTCAGAATTTTGTTTGTATCTCCTTTCTGTGTGTCAGTCTAGCCATAAGTTTGTCTGGCTTGGTTATTGACCTTTGCCAAGAGCAAGGGTTTTATTTATCTTTATCATATGAGGGAAAGAAGGAGAGAGAGAGAGCGAGTGAACCTGCTTGTTCACTCTTCAGATAACCACCGCAGCGGGGCTGGGCCAGGCTGAAGCCACCAGGGACTTTGTCCAGATATTCCCCACAAGTGACAGGGATCCAAGTCCTCAGGCCGGGTTTGCATTAGCAGGAAGCTGGGCCGGAAGCAGAGGCAGGACTCGGTTGCAGATGCTCCAGCCTGGGACACTGGCTTTCTTGCTGCTCCTTCCACCCCCCGGCGCCAGCCCCACCCTGGGAGTGTGTTTTTCATCTGATTTTCCCAGCATACCTCACAGCATTGTAGAGTCACGTAGACCCGAGTGTCTTGCTCTGCCACATGCCGGCTGGGGACACTGGCCTTTGCCCCTCTTTATGCTGATTTCCTTCATTGTGACATGGGAATGCCAGCGCTTCGACACAGGCGGCTGTGGAGATCCAATCAGAGAATGCACCTAAAGCACTCGGAACGGTGGGGTGTGCGCACACTCAGGACAGCTTCCCGCCCGGCTCTGTACGGGCTCAGCGGCTCTGCTGGGCTCTCCGTCGGCTGGGGGGTTGTGTATCAGCATGTCCCTGCTCTGCTGGGCTCTGCTGGGCTCTGCTGGGCTCTCCGTCCGGCGGGGTGTGTGAATCAGCATGTGTGTCGCAGAGATTTGAGGACCTGTTTCCTGGGGTAGTAGAGATGTAAGTGGATCCAGGCTCTACCAGGCCCGCCCACAGGCTGCAGGCCAGGCGTTGCCAGCCCTGTGCAAGGCAGACGGCGGCTGGCCAGGATCCCCTCTGGCTCATGGCAGCTCCAGTCAGCCCTTAATCTCAGTGGATCGCAGAAGGCCCCGCCATGGTGCAGAGGAGGGTTGCCCACCTCTCTAGTCTCATCCAGAAACCGCTTGGCAGAAGCACCTAGAGCAGTGACTGGCCGTGTGGCTGATCATGGTGGCCCACCCACGTAACACACACAGATCGCCTTTGTGGAGACCTCGCCCTGCAAGCCTCTGCTAGGCATGCGGCAGCTGGGGGTCACCAAGGAAAGGAGTCCACCCTTGGGCAGGCACGGCTCTGCCCAGCCTGTGCTCACTGCCCAGCCCAGTGCCCACTGCTCAGCCTGTGCCCACTGCCCAGCCCAGTGCTGTGTGTATTCATTCCTGGCCCCTGGTGCCCAGAGACCCTCTTCTCCCCAGCACACCTTGGTCAGTAAAGTCCTTCCCATCCTTCCCTCCCTCCCCCGTCACACGTCACCTGTGCAGCTCCTCAGGCTTTTTTACCTTCTCTGGCTGGACTCACCCCAGGGTGCAAGCATCATGGCCGATCTGGCTCTGCGTCCTCCTCCACCCGCTCGGGGGCTTGGCTGCCACTCCCACCTGATTAGGGATTGAGGAGCAGCGAGGTGGGGCTGGGGTCCTGGGACAGCGCAGCACGAGGTGACCACAGTGCTCAGAGTTGTGCATGGTCTGTCACACCAAGTCTTTATAGCATCCTTTTTGAGACAAGTACTATTGTTATTAACTGCAAGAAAGCTGGGATCCCCGTGGGGTCCCTGTGGGGTCCCCGTGGGGGACCAGGCCTGGCATGTCTGACCTTGGCGTCCACACTGGGCTGTGATGGAGGGCAGACTGGTGCAAAGCAGCCACCTGCTGGTGAGGACAGGCTGTGTCAGCTAGGGAAACCCCATTTTGCAGACGGGAAAGAGAGGCTCATGTAGGTTAATGGGCTTGCCCAGGGTCACAGAAATAACGAGGGGTGGAGCTGAGGTTAAGACCAAACCTCCCCGACCCTGAGCTATATCACACAGATCATGGGGTGAGAGCCATGCAGGGGCCAACAAGGGATGTGCCTGCAGCCCAGGGCGTCAGGCCGCGGAGGCCTGGCCTCCAGGAAGGTCTAGCAGGATCAACTTGGCACGAGGCAAGGGGCCTGGCAGCAACCTGGACCTGGGGATGGGGCGGGAGGGACCGGACACCTGGTGGCCTGGGGAATCCTGGCCAACTGGAGCCTTGCCCAGATCTTTGCTGGAGCAGCCAAGCTGTGCACAGCTGAAGAGAGATCAGACGCCAGGGCGTGCTGAGAAAGTGCTGTTCCAGCAGGTCCCCGCCTGTAGGAGCCAGCCCGCCCCCTGCGCCCTGGCGGTAGGGGTGGGAATGGCAGCTCCCCCCACCCCCCCACTACTGGCTCTGCACGAGCCGTGCCCTCACAGCCTCCTCTGAGGAGCAGCTGGAAAATCCCAGCCCTGCCACTCATGCTCTTCCCCAGCCCTAGGCGGGGTAGGGGCGGGGTAGGGGCGGGGTGGGGGAGGCATGGCCTCGGCTCTCAGGGTTGTCTGCTGGGTTCAGGTGGGTGCGACAGGGAGACTGCCAGGAATGGTGCAGGTGGTGGCTTTTCGTGATTTTCTGTGTGTCTGCCGATTTTATTTCTTTGAGAGGCAGAGAGAATCAAAGACTTACCCTCTGCTATTGGGTCATTCTCGAAGCGAATGGCCCTGGCCAGGCTGGGCTGAAGCCCAAACCCAGTCCACGTGTCTGCTAGACCCCCAGGGCACATGTGAGCAAGGAAGCTGGAATGAGCAGCAGCCTGGACTTGAACCCAGGCACTCCAGGGTGGAATGTGGGGGCCCCAGTGGCATCTTTGCCTTGTGTCCTGGCTCTCCTGCGCCTCTTCCAGACCTGTCCAGGCACATACGTCCCTGCTGATCCCAGGGTCCCTCAGCTGTGCCCCTTCCCCATGCAGGTCATCGCTGTGGTCATGGACCTCTTCACCGACAGAGACATCTTCCAGGACATTGTCGATGCCGCCTCCAAGCGCCGGGTGCCCGTGTACATCATCCTGGATGAGGCCGGGGTCCCATACTTCCTGGAGATGTGCCAGGGCCTGGAACTTGCCGATTTCCGCATTCGGGTGAGCAACCCCTCCGCTGGTTCTGGGGTTCCAAGTCAGGACCGTGGTCCTTTTTCAGGGAGCTTTGGAAGTAGGTGGGAGCCACGTCAACATGTCCACAGCCAGGGCAGGACCTGGTGACCACAGGGAGTCCCAGGCATGAGGCCACGGGAAGCAGGGGGCATTGAGGACCAATAGGGAGTGCCCAGGGACAAGAGAGCTGCTCATCTGCTGAAGCTAAGAATTGGCCTGCCCCACCCTCCAGGGGTGACAGCGCCTTCTCCTGTCCCCAACAGAACATCCGTGTCCGTTCCGTGACAGGCGTGGGCTTCTATACGCCCATGGGGAAAATCAAGGGGACCCTGTCCTCAAGGTTCCTGATGGTGGACGGTGACGAGGTGGCCACCGGATCCTACAGGTGAGTTGGGCCTCTATTCGCAATCCTATCCATGCCCCACCCGGCCACATGCAGCCTCCTGCCCAGTTTCTCTCCCTGGGCTGCGTGGCCAGTGGATTCTTCTGGAATGACGGACCTCTTTCACAGAGCAGCAAATGTCTGGAGGCTGGTGTGGCTCAGCCAGGTGGAAAGTAGAACAGGTCCAACCTGGAAAAGAAATCTGAGTGTGAGAGATGCAGAGGGAATGTGGCTAGCCCTTCCATTGAAGAGCCAGTTACTGGGAGCGTGGGGCCGTGACTGTCGCAGGGCGGCCGAGGAGAGGGACCCTACATACATGGCACGAGGGTGACCGGACAGCCTGAGCGTGCTGGCATGATTCAGATGAGAAGCGGGGAGGAACGGAAAGCAGGGCCAACAGCCGACACGGGGGCGGCAGCTCTTGCTGGCATCAGATGCGTGCCGCCGGTCCCCAGGCCCAGTGTTTCAAGTTGTTACCAGCAAAAAGTGCACATTATGAAAAGAAAAAACATGCATGCACTTCCAGATCCCTTCCCAGCATCTGCCACCACTACCCGCCTGGCCTTTGGCCTCGGAGGCCCAGCCCCAGTGGGGGAAACAGCAGGATTTGGGTTGGGACTGAGAGGGCAGCGGGCACGAAGAGTGCATGGTGCCTGACTGCCAGCCGGTCACCCCGTGCACTGCATTTCTGTCTCTGTGTCCCCAGGTTCACGTGGAGCTCGTCCTACGTAGACAGGAATCACCTCCTCCTCCTGACGGGACGGAACGTGGAACCCTTCGACGTGGAGTTCCGGGAGTTGTATGCCATCTCCGAGGAGGTGGACTTGTACCGGCAGCTGGGCCTGGCGGGAGGCCCCGGCCGACTGGGCCTCAACTACTCCTCCACAGTAGCCCGCAAGCTGATCAACCCCAAGTACGCCTTGGTGGCAGGCAGTCGCCACCCACCAGGGGAGCTGATGCGCTGGGCCGCCCAGCAACAGCGGGAGGCTGGCAGCCCGCCGGTGGGCCAGGAGGAGAGCGGCAGTGGCGGTGAGATGTCCCAGCGCCTGCACAACTTCCTGAATGACCTGGTCACACTGCAGCAGGTGCTGCCCCCCGTGGAGGAGCTGAGGGTGGTCGCCCAGTCACACATGGACCCGAAGTCCAGACCCCGGAACGGCAAGCTAGAGGCTGCCAACGGCGAAGCCACTGCGTCCAAGGAGGGCAAGCGCTTCGGCAGCAGATGGTTCAGCCAGAGGGGCAAGCGGCCCACGGCACCCAACGGCACAGCCGGCTCCGCCGAGACCTTCCCTGACAAGGAGATCCGGATGGGGAAGAGACCCAGCGAGAGTCCCAATGGTGCTGACCTCTCAGGTGAGCAGCTCCAGCCCTGTCCAGGGGCGCCACCTCCTGTCTGCAAGAGGGCCAGCCTGCTGCCAGTGGGCGTATCCAAGAGGGCCTGGCGACCCAAGCTTGTGGCTTTGAACTGAATCACTGTATTTCTGAGCTCCCTCTGCACTGGGGAGCACCCAGTGTCCTGGGGCACGGAAAGCACCCAGTGCTGCTACCAAGGGGCAGTCGGATCGGCCCCGGTGACTCAGCGAAGTGTGCATGTGTGCCTGCGTGGGAAATTCAGAGGCACGGCCCCTGGTTTTGATCAAGGGCTCTTCTACCAGCCTTTCTTTGGGCCTAATCACCCGCCGGCAGGCTGTACACCTGGCCAAACACAGCCCCCTGCCCTGGCCCACCCACTCTCCCCAGATCCTCTGGAGGGAGTTTGGCTTTCCATGCTTCTGCTGAGCCGGTTTGCCATGCTGCCTACCTCTGAGACGGCAGCAACATCCTTGTCGCTGTCCTCCAGGGTCCCCAGCAGATGTCCTGGCCTCCGATCTCCCCTGGAGCAGGCTCAGCAGGCCATAGCGACATGCAGTCTGCCAATGTCACCTTCCCCACTTTGGCTTCCTGCGGTCGGAAGGTGCAGGCAGGGGGTTCTGTGCTGGGATTTATTTATTCTCATCTACTTGAAAGGTGGAGGGAAGCAGGGTGCAGAGAGAGGCTTCAGGAACCTAGAACTCCATCTGGGTCTCCCCCTGTTGGTGCCAGGGGCCCAAGAACCTGGGTGTCCTCTGCTGCCTTCACAGGGAACTAGCTTGTAAACAGAGGGGCCTGAACTCAAACCCTCCAGTACAGGAGGGAAACATCCCAAGAGCCTAGCCCACTGTGCCGCAGCACCTGCTCCTGTGCAGAGGGGCTTTGCTGAGAGGGACACGGCGAGTCAAGAAGGGCAGAGCCCAAGGCCTCCCTGGGCCCGTATGGCCCCACAGACCAAGCACTGCCCCAACTAGGAGTGGGAGGAGAGCCAGGTCACCCCTCAGCTGACGACCCAGCACACGTGGTATGCTGATGGTCAGGTAGATTCACTTCTTAAGGTGAGAGCAGTGTGTGTGTGTGTGTGAGCGTGTGTGAGTGTGTGTGTGAGTGTGTGTGTGTGTGAGTGTGTGTGAGCGTGTATGTGTGTGAGTGTGTGTGTGAGTGTGTATGTGTGTGTGTGTGTGTGAGTGTGTGTGAGAGAGTGTGTGTGTGAGTGTATGTGTGTGTGAGAGAGTGTGTGTGTGTGAGAGAGTGTGAGTGTGTGTGTGTGAGTGTGTGTGTGAGTGTGTGTGTGAGAGTGTGTGTGTGTGAGTGTGTGTGTGGGAGTGTGTGTGTGTGTGTGAGAGTGTGTGAGTGTGTGTGTGAGAGAGAGTGTGTGTGTGTGTGAGAGAGAGAGAGTGTGTGTGTGTGAGTGTGTGTGTGTGTGTGAGATAGAGTGTGTGTGTGTGTGAGTGTGTGTGTGTGTGAGAGAGTGTGTGTGAGAGAGAGAGAGAGAGCGTGTGTGTGTGTGTGTGTGTGTGTGTGTGTGTGTGTGTGTGTGTGTGTGTGTGTGTCGGGGGGAGGTGTCTCTGGGCACAGTGGGGTTGCTAGGCCCGAAAGCATTCACCTAGATCCGGCATGGGTACTCCCCTCCCTGCCTGTGTCCTCACTGCAAACCATTGCGGTGGGGAGACGGCAGGTGGAAGTTGATGGGGGCCTGGAGAGTGATAGTAGGGCCAGGGCACCACACAGGCCCGTGTTCTGGGTGGAAGCCCCTGGGAAGGATGCCGCTGCCCACACACACTCTGTTTGGAGGCAGGTTGCCATGGAGAACATGGCAGGGGGAGGGACTGGGCTGGGCTGGGCTGGACCAGGCTATGCTGGACTGGGCTGTTCATGGGGAGGGAAGGGAAAGCTCTTCCTTCAGCCCCTCGCCCTGAGATGCTGTTTCCATAGAAACACAAGTCCCATTGTCTTGTCCTTCCAGCTGTCCTTGGTATCTCCGCGTCCAGTCCCCACCTCAGCATCCAGTGCCACCTCTGCTGCCTCCCTCAGTGTCTGCCCCTGGACAGCTCCTTACTCCCATAACTGGCCTGTGTCATGGGGCAGCTGTTCCCCAGGGTACCTGACATAGGTGCCTGACACAGGACAGAGTGGGGGCCAGGCAGGGCAGGAGTGCACTGCCAGGACAGCCAGGACTACCCGGCCTCATCCCTTCCCTCCTCCTGCAGAATAAACTAGGACAGACATCGGGCCCTGGGCTGCACGTCCCCTCGCGCAGTCCCCCTCCCTGCCCTGTCCTCTGGGGCTCTCACCTCTGTCCCCTAACCAGGAGAGGGGGTTCCCCTTCCTACAGTAAACTTCTGGAGTAGCATCGGGACAGGCACCTGCTTACCACACACTGCACCTTGCACCCTGGGACACAGCGTCCCCCCACACGCCCAGAGCTATCCCGTCCTGTGGAGGACAAGAGGGCTGCTGGGTGGGGGCCTCCTGAGGCTGCCCCTCCCTGTCCCTGCTCTCAGATGGTACCAGCTCTGTCTCCACAGCCCCCTTGTTGGGAGCGAAGCTGGGTCGATGACAGCATGGTGAGAAGAGAGACACACAGCGCAGGCTGGGAGCTGACAGCCTGTAAAATCGCTCGATAAGGAGGATATAGTTGTCAAACAGCACGCAAATTCCCATAAGCCCAGGCGTGGCCTCAGGGGGGCAACCTTGGCCACCCTGAGCTGGAGATGGGGGAGCTGCTCGTGTTTTAGAGACTCATAGCTCCCTCTAGTGGCAGATGCTGGGTGCACTTTTGTCATGCTAGGTGCACTGGGAAGCTGGACAGACCAGGCTTCTGGGGGCTTTTTTTTGGTTTGTTTGGAAAGTCAGATATACAGAAGAGGAGAAACAGAGAGAAAGATTGTCCATCCTTGATTCACTCCACAAGTGGCCACAACAGCTAGAACTAAGCTGATCTGAAGCCAGGAGCCTTGAGCCTCCTCCAAGTCTCCCACGTGGGTACAGGGTCCCAATGCCTTGTGCTGTCCCCAACTGCTTTCCCAGGCCACAAGCAGGGAGCTGGTTGGGAAGCAGGGCTGCCAGGATTAGAACCGGTTGGGAGCAGTCATTTAAAATGCAGGAAAGAGTCCATTCCTGGGCAGAGTCTGCCTTGGAGACGCCTGCATTTCTATGGAATTCTGCCACCCAGTGGATCCTTGGATCAGCCAACCTCATGGGGGAGAACCAGACAGGGCAACAGCCCCCGCCCGGGCTCAGGGATGTCCAGATGAGGAGAGGGGGCTCCAGGTACTGCACCTGACACCCAACCCTGCACTTCCAAAGCCGTGGGAGACACATGCTGGTCGCTGACAGTCACAGCCATCTGCCTGCTGCCTGTGTTTCACACCTGAGACTTCCCTGAGACCCCGGCGGTCAGCCTCTAAAGGGTCAGAGGTCAGTGGTCAGCACCACTTAGCCTCCTAAACCCCCCCAGCTGAGAGGGAGGGGGAGAGGCTGGGGGAACGCACCGCTTAGGGTCCTGTCTTCCAGGTGAAGCCTCTGCACACACAGGAAGAGGCAGCGTCCTCTCTGTGGCCTGCACAGCTGTGTCCCCGCTCCGCCGAGCAGGCACAGGTCCTCAGTCCTGCAGCCTGTCCCCCACCACACCCCTGCTGTAGGTCTCCCCCTTGAAGCCCGATTTCCTCTCCCCTGGGGAAGAGCTCCGGTTGCAGTAGGAATGTGTGGGGAGAAACTGGGCCGAAGCCGCTGCTCCTCCTATGACCAGGTCACCAGGATTGATTTACTTACCTGGCTGCGAACTGCCATTGTCCCCCCGCCCCCCGGGAGGCACCTGGCATCTGCTTAGCAGGCCGGGCAGGCAGGATGAGCAGCTAAAGAGGAGGGGCAGCACAGAGGCTCCAGCACGGCAGAGCCTGGTCACCTAAGAGCCGAACCTGGACCCGGTTCTCAGTGCCACCGCACAAGGTGACCCGTCCTCCTTCCCAGCTCCAGGCAGGCACGGTGGGTTCTGTGAGCCACTGCAGGAGACTCCATGCTGGCCAGCCTGGACCAGGCTGTGGTCCAGATATTGGATAGGAGCAGAAACTGGGGGCTGGGGGAGGTGCGCAGGGGCTGGGAGGCGCTGGGCTCTGCGTCGGCCCTGATCAGGGCCTCTGTCTTGCTAATGGCCCAGAGGAGGAGGCGGGTGCCACCCTAATCGAATTCACAGCTGAAGTGATCTGGGAAGGCGGCACAGAGCGCCAAGGGAATACAGCCCTTGCTGCCCGGAGAGGAAGTGGCAGGAAAGAGCTGGCAGGGCAGCCTCCACTGGGGGAGAGGCAGCCTGCGAAGCTGGGCTCTGGGAGGACGCAGTGCCACCACGGCCTGACACCTGCGGGATAGGGGCAGAATCAGTCTTAAGATGGAAAGAAAGTGCCCGGTGGAGGCCTGGGCGGGGAGAGTGGCTTCATCCTCGGCTGTCACCGCAGCTAGGGCCTCTGTCCTGCCCTGGCTGGTCCTGCGAGCTCTGGCCACCCATGAGGGCTTGTGACACTCCAAGTGACCAGTGTGCCACCTCCTGGCAAGACGTTGAAATCCTTGCTAGTTCCAGCGTCTGGATCCCTCCCCCTTTGGCCCTGCCCACATGTGGTGGGGTGGGGGGTGTCAGCAGAGGCCCCCAGGGCATGAGCTCTCCATGGTGCCCACTTGGCCTGGTTTTGCAATCGGCAGCTTGAGTGGGCGACCTCAGCCTCCCCCCGGACATGGTGCGGTGTGGACAACACACGGAGCAGGGGCTGCTGATGAATCCACCACGCTTCTCACTTAGGCCTTCTGTGCCCGTGTCTCCACAGGTAAAGCAAGTCCCAGTCCTGCCAAGACGAGCAATTGTGTCATTTGCTGAGCTACAGGGCCTGAGGATGCCGACCTGCCTTATCCAGTGCTGTATAGAGCCCAGGCCACTCCCTGCGACCTGGTGTGGCTCCCGGACCCACTCAGGCCTCAGGGCCAGATCGTCTCAGGATGACCCCAAAGCCGCACTGCCGGGTGCCTTGTTTACACAGCTGGGAACTGCTCAGCTTTGTGCTGACCCCGCCCCCCAGGGCTCCCGCCCTTTCTACATCCCCATGGGATGAGGTCTCTGGGGATGACCCTGGCCTCTGGCTTCTCCTTTCCCGAGCTTCCTGGGGCTTCTGGTCCCCCCAAGAGGTTGATGGCATAAAAGAGAAGAGGGTGAGTCTCTGAGTCCTAGCAAAGCTGAGTGCCTTCCTGCCTCGCCCAGACTCAGAACCCTAGGCAGGAGGTGCTGCGGACTATGGCCTTCCTGGCCCATCCCTGCGGGCCCTTGGTCCAGACCCCCCAGTATCAGAAGCCGGCCTTGCTGTGCCCCGCTCTTGGCCTGTATGTACCAGGCCGCCCTGTTGCCCATGTGGTTCCTACAGTGCCTTTACCTGGCCCTCTGCGCCCTCGATACACCTGTGCTTGCAGCCCAAAGCAGGTAAGTGGCTGGGCCACAAGCAGCTTTTGAGGGGCTGCTTCTGTTACATTTCAGCTAGAGATCAGGCTTGGGGTCCTGGGAAAGTCCGGCTGTATTGAAGGGTCCCCGCACTCCCCATAGCAGGTGGGCCAGGGGATACTCAACACTCAGGCCAGCCCTGCCAGGATGGCCTTTTTGTCCTCTGCCCACAGCCTCCAGCCTCTTAACCCTGTCTTCTCTGCCTTCAAAATACCCCGGAACCCCCTCTACCTGTACCTGAGGGAGGGGTGCCCAGACTGGGCTGACGAGATGTGGGGAGGAGAGGGGAGAGAGGACCCCAACCCATTCATCTGCCTGGACTTTTCGAGGATCAGCCCTCCTGGAAGTGTTTTCCTGTGCACTGAGACCTCTAGTGGAGCATTTGTGCTTGTCCTGGGGGAGGGTTCGGGGCTGTTACAGCAGTGCAAACGGGTGGACCCACAGAAACTGCCATGGGGGATGGGGGTGGCTCTTGGCGTAGAGGCTGGGCCCCTTGGTCTGGAACCAGCTTCCATGCACGCCTGCCAAGGGATGCTCATACGTCCCCTACAACTGACACGTGCAGGCCACATCCTTCCCTGCCAAGGCATCTTGGCACACCACATTCTGGACAAGTCCCCAGTCCCTGCAGCCTCACACCAACAGGCCGGGGTGGGGGTTTCTCACTGCGTAGGCAAAGAGCCGTGGTGTGCGGGGGGAAGCATGCCTGCCTGTGAGGCAGGAGGCCTGCCTGGGCAGGGGCCTCAACCTCAGCGTCTTCATCCCTGCACAGGGTCAGCCATGGCCATCACCTTCTCTGGAGCGTTTAAGCTGGTGACCATGGCCAGGAGAGCGCTCCGGATGCTGGGTCCGTACAACCCAGCTCCAGCGTGCTTGTCTGCAGAAGCTCTGACCCCCATCAAGTCTCAAGGGGACATCTGGCCTCCCCAGCTGGACGGCAGGTGGTCCTTGGTCCCTGCACTGGAGCGTCCCCGGGGCTGGGCAAGGAGGGCCTTCGGTGCTACAGCCAAGCTGCTGGCTCACTTTCTGATGTTAACAAGGTGGAAAGGCTGGCTGGCCAGGGAGCTGAGATGCTTTGAGGTTGCTGCTACCGCAGTGTCTATGCCTGAAGGACAGGGGGGCACGTATGATGCTGCCCAGGGGAGGGGAATTTTCCCAGCCTTGTCAGCTCTGTGTCTTCAGAATACCGATTCCTGAAGAGTGCTGTTAAACCTCTGGAGCTGATCTCACTCCTCTTTGCCTGTGCAGAACATTCTGGAAGAGGTAGACAAAAAAAAAGGGGGGGGGGCTTAGAGAGCTTAGAGATAATGGAGGCAATTGGGTCTCCACTTTTCATGCTGCTAATTCCCCGTCCTTCCAGTTGTTGTCTGTGGAAGGTCGGTCCCTTGGCTAAATGCTCTGGTCACGTGTTGGACTGCAACTGAGAACAAAAAGAAGAGCTTTGATCAGGTGGTGTGTCCTCATGTGGGGAGCAGCACGGGGGGTGCCCTGGGTTTAGGGCAAGGCACACAGCTCTCCCCGGATCCTGTGTCATGCACGATGTAGACTGGGGGCTTGCCCTGAGCTCAGCCCTTCGTGAGGGCAGAGGATGGTGCTGGGCTGAGGGTGTGAGGAGCGCCCTCTCAATGTGATGGTTGACAAGGTCCCCCAGAGCGGAGCGCCTGGCTGCAAACTCAGGCCGACGTCCTGGCATCCGTTCCTCACCACCTCGCTGTCCCCTGAGCAGGTGTGTCTGCCTGCACAAAGCTGCCTCACTGCAGTTGGCTCCCTGTCAGACGCCCTCCCACTTCCTTCCGTCTCGCACCGCTGGATGACACACCTCGGTGTATTCCCCAGTGCCCCCCAACCACCACCACCTGCCGACGCCAACTGCATCCTTAACAAAGGTAGACACAGCCCCTTGGGAACCTGCTCAGCCCGGCTGTATTCCTGGGTCGTGGTTCACCACCTGGGGGCTGGTGTGCCATGCCCCACCCTCCCTGCCCAAAGGAGCCTGCAGCAGTCACCCATCCTCTACACAGCCGCTGCAGAACCGGCCCCTGTGCACGGCAGGGAGGGGCCCAACCCAGAGGACAAGGGCAAGAGTCAGACTCAGTACCAAATGGAAACAAAGGCCTTGCCAGGTAAAACAGGCCCAACCGTCACAGCCCCGCTGTGCTCAGCTTGCAGCATCCCGGCCGCAGACAAAGAAGGCCCTACCTCTGGGCACCACGCTTGTGGTCCAGCACCATCGGCCTCCCAGGCCCGGGGACCCAGCTTGCTGAGCTCACTGTTGTAACCACAGAGTCTGCTTACTCCCTGTCTGCTGAGTGAAGGCTTGACAGCCGCTCAACACTGAAGTTAAACCAGGCTGAGAAGGGGGACGAGCGTTTCGTGTGATGCTTAAGTGTCCACGATATTGCAACTCTTGCATCATATCAGAGTACCTGGTTCAAGTCCCAGCTCCTACTTTCAATCGAGCTTTCTGCAGACACACACCCTGGGAAGCAGCCAGTGGGGGTCCAAGTGCTTGGGTCCCTGCCACCCACATGGTAGGTTGAGTTCTGGGATCCGGGTTTTGGCCTGGCCCAGCCCTGGTTGTTTCAGGCATTCGGCTCCTCTGAAGTAAAAACCAGGCCTAATGCACTTGGGAAGCGTCAGAGGTTCCAAAATGGAACAAGACTGTTTTGATCTTGTGCTTGACTTTGACACTGTACCTGAAAGCCAGATGGGACTGCACTGGCTGCTGATCAAATCAATTCCTCAAGGACACCTGCCCCCTTCCTCGCATGCCCTCAGCAGCTGGTGTTCATCTGCAAGAACTTCCAGACCGGATGGAGCCAGTCTGCTGGGCCTCTGGCTGCTCAGGGTTGGCTTCTGTGGGTTTCTACTCCTTTTCTTGCTCTGTGTATTCATTTATTTGAAAGGCAGAGTGGGAGAGACAGAGAGCTTCTGTCAAATGTCCACGAGTAAGGGCCATAGCCAAGGAACCTCACTTTGGTCTCCAGCTTGAGCCATCATCTGCTGCTTTCCCAGGTGCATCCGCAGCAAGGAGCTGGACCAGTGTTGCAGTAAGGAATACCAGCATCCTTATCGAGAGATAAACCTGCTGCACCATGACCCTGGTCGCTGCATGCCTCCTTTCCACAGGCTAGCGCAGGAGGAGAGCCAAAGCCACTTGACAGGTTTGGATATCCCAGGGGTCCCTCTCTCCCCATAGCTGGAAGTGAGTTTTCACCAGAAAGTAGCTGTGAGTGAGGCAGCGTCTGCATCCCTCACTTAAAAGCAGCTTCCTTTGGAACGTATATCCCACAAGGAGATGGGCAGGACCTAGCACGAATGATGCCGCCTGCATGGGGGCCCAGAGGAAGGGAGAAAAGGCAGTGCCCAAGGCCCCATGGGGGAGGAGCGGGCCGGAGGCTGAGCCCACTGCCTGCAGCCTTGAGTGCCCGTGGTGTCCCTTCCTGGAAAGGCGGCCCCTACCGTGTTCTGACAGTACATTCAGTTGTTTCAGTAGGTATTGACTGGCCTTCAGGCCTTGGGAGACTTGGTCAGTGAGGGCGGCTGCCAGCGGCTGCTGGGACCTCACCAGTCACAGGTGGTGGACAAAGGGCAGGCTTTGGAATGGGGAGGCGGGTGCTGTTGGGATCCTGGACTCCAATCCTGGGCAGCCAGGGATCGGCAGATGTGAGGTGGAAGGTGACCCGGGAAGCACGACCCACGGGAGAGGCTGTAGATGCCATTGGACCTCATGCCCTTCCTCCTGGCACACTCATGCCCGGCTCTCTTCACCCTCACACCCTTGCTGTAGCTTTTCTACTTTGAGGACGAGCCCTGGGCACTCAGGGCTAAAGGCTCACTCACACAGAGGGAGCGCCAAGGCCCGGGCTTTGAAGGAAACATGGAGGAGGCCTGTCAGAGACACTGGTGCCAGGCCCTCCGCTGGCAGAACCCGGGAGGGCCACAGCTTTTCTCAATGGATAGTATAGACTGAAATAAAGGATTTTGGAGGTGTGTATCTGGGGAGGATACCGCTTGGGATGCCTGCAGCCTACTGTGCATGGGTTTGAGTCCTTGCTCTGCTTCGCTCCTGCCTTCCTGCTCATGTGCATATGTTTCCCCAGGAGTCAGCAGCTGACCCCCAGGTACTTGGATCCCTGCTGCCCTCCTGGCTTCAGTTTAGTCCAGCTTCAGTTGGACTGCTAATACCGATCCAGTTCCCTGCTTCACGCACCTGAGAAGGCAGTGAAGGATGGCTCAGGTCCTTGGGCCCCTGTACCCACGTGGGAGAGCCACTTGAGGCTCCTGGCTCCTGGCTTTGACCAGGACCAACCCTTGTCCGTAGCAGCCATCTGGGAAGTGAGAAAGTACACGAAGATTTCTCAGCCTCCCCCACCCCTTTGGCAGCACTCTGCCTTTC